ATTTTTTAAAATGTATTTTGTAGTGAACTTGTCAATAATCTGGACTCTTCCAACATTTATTCACTTGTTTCTCAATAAAACTGGTTATTCTTCCTTATTTATTCTTTTGAAAGCTATTTACTTACTATTCATGATTTAGTTTTTAAACTATGACTCGTTAATTACTGACTCTCTGAGGATGTAATGTTGTTTAGTTTTGAACCTAAATGTTTACCTTTTTTTACACAACGACAGCAGTTTTACATTATTCAGCGTTTTGTGAGCACGTGAAAGATGTTTTAATCTGACTTGTTGGATCGTAACAGTAAATTAAAGACAGCAGATAATCAGGAAAAAAAGAAACTGAATCAGAATGATCCCGTACGTTGTTCCCCATCTTACAGCTTAGGAGCTTCTGAGTTGGGTCTTTATGACAAGCTTGCATCAGACGTTGACAAATTACACTCAGACAGAACAACTATCTGAGATCTTTTCCACATTGCATAAGAAAACACCAGAATAACCTCCCAGACTGGCTGCACTAATGGATGGGAGTCTTACAGGTGAGCTAGTCTGCCTCCGGTCCTCAGGATATCCTCTGTTTAATGTGAAGTGTTTTCAGTCCCATGTACAGTCGTGGACACACTCGCCCTGACTCTCAGTCCGCTGAGTACAGGGTGGGACTGGCTGTTCTGGGCCCGGCTGTTCTGGGCCCGGCTACGTCAGCCTCCGTCTCAGGAGAGCCATAAATCAAAACAGCAGGAAACAGACAGACAGAAGGTGAACGTCACCGTCATCAGTCAGCTGGGAGGCAGAATGTGTCAGTGCAGCTCAGTTAGTCGAGTCATGCTCCAAACTGACATGAGGAACGGAATAAGTAACGAGCATTAATCTGTGTTTCATGTGTTTAAGGGTTTGTTCATGGAATTTAATTCAAAATGATAATATGGGCCACCGCTACAGCTCAACTGGTTGAGCTAGCGACCCATGTACTGGAGCCATAGTCCCCGATGCAGCGGTCGTGGGTTCAAATCCAGCACATGGCCATTTGCTGCAGGTCCCTCCCCCATTCTTCTCCCCCATTCTTCTCCCTGACTCTCCTGTCTCTCTCTCTACTGTCCTGTCAAATAAAGGCCAAAAAAATAAGTATAATCGACAACTCTGCTAATAGAGAATTTTTTATTACTTTCTTCAGAGTCAGAATTTAACATACACTAAGATTATTATGCCTCCACGCCCACATGATGATGTCATGGCTTTGGAGGCTTCTGATTGGTTAATTGGCAACATCTGAGTTAATTGGAGGCACACCTGTGGATGTATTTTAAGGCACACCTCAAACACACTGCTTCCATCTGTGACAACATGGAACATCTAAAGAAATCAGCCAAGATACCAGGAGGAGAACTGTGGACCTCCACCAGTCTGGTCCATCCTTGGGTACAATGTCCAGATGCCTGAAGGTTCCACGTTCATCTGTTCAACAGTTATATCAAATATAACCACCATGGGAATGTCCAGCCATCATAGGCTCAGGAAGGAGACGGTTCTGTGTCCCAGAGTTGAAGTGTTTTGGTTGAAATGTGTAAATCAACCCCAGAACAGAAGCTAAAGACCTGAGAAGATGCTGCTGAAGCTGCTCAGACCTCATAATGTATAACACTAGGACCGGTACTCAAAACTGTGCTATCCAGCTGATGTTCACAGCTGCGGTAAACAATGCAATGTTACACAGAGGCAGAACTTAAAAGGACAAAGCTCCAGAATTTATTACCACTAATTTGTACGACAGCAGGTCCCACTTTTAGCTTAAAACTTCCCCCGTGTTGTAATTAATCAAAGCGATCATGAAAGAGGACGAGAAGGCTGACAAGGCAGTGCGGAAAGAGGAAAGGCCAGGTAGCACAGCCAGAGGACAGAAACACAAAAAGGCAGCGAGAGACGCTGGCGCACAGAGGGGCAAATGTCGTCAGAGACTGGGAGAGAAGAAACCAACTAGGGAAGAAGGGTGAGGAGTTCAACAAGGAAACATAAATATTTGATCAAGGCCAGATTGACAGGGGAACAAAGGGAACACGGAGCGTTGCCTCCAAAAACGTCTCTTTCCCACAGAGGGGAGCATAGTCTCTCTGACTTTCCCCAAATACTGTACCTTTGTTTCTTTATGTTGAGAGCTGGAGTGAAAATGCAACTAACAATGGAGCAAACATGTAGTCAAGTCTTTGGCATGTCTTTACTAAAACGCTGCAGAAACTTTGGTTACAGTGAGAAGACTTGAAGCCTGTAATGGCATCTATAGTAAAAAAAAAAAGAAATCCTCTGTAACTTATGATTTAATGCTGAGCTCCTGAATCTATACTAGCGATGGATCAGGTGACTGGATGTAACGTGAGAAGGCCACAAGACCATCAGCAGCTCGTGTAACATGAATTACTGTATGTGATAATAATAAAAAAAAGACAGTTCACACAATCAAAGCAAACATTTTTGTTTGTTCCAGTAAGTTCTGGTGTGTATCCTGTGTTGGGACAAACAGCTCCCTCTGTCCCTCAACACCACACAAAACAACAACAATAAAAACAACACCAAACATTCATCTTCCTGCAGTTCCAGTAAACCTCCAGACCGTCCGTGCATGACCTTGCAGAGGTCTGCAGCTGGTTTTATTTTAGAAGATCTTGGCCGTTGTGTCGTGACCCAAGAGGCCAATATTCACCTATCAAAGGCTTTCAAATGTATTTTTAACTCACGACTCAAGACTTGCCAAACAGCTCAGTACATTGGGCCTCTGAGGCACCTGCCATCACGCCGAAACTATTTCAGTCTGATAATAACCAACAACAGAAAACAGACATTTCTTTATCTTGGGATTGTTCTGCCGCCAACAGCGTGAATTTGGTTCTTTCTGCTGTTGTCTGTGCCTCAAAGCCTGGCGCGGTGCCAAGGCTGTGCCGTTTTTGGCCCGTTTTCTGAACTGATACTGCAAACCTGCAGTAACGCCTTCCTCTCTGAGCGGTCCGTGATCATATATCTTTCATGTTTTCACTCTTACTTAACTATTTTCCGATGCAGAAGTCTTTGAAGATGATATCCAGGATCTCCTCTGCCCCGACCCGTCCAGTGATCCTGCCCAGGCTGGTGAGAGCTAACCGGACGCCCTCCGCTGCCAGAGCGAGGTCAGTGTCGCGGTACTGCTGATACTGAGCCAGGGCCGCCGCGCACCGCTGCAGGTGGGCCCTGTGGCGAGCCTGGGTCAGGGTGGGGGCACCAGACAGAGGGTCGCCACACCTTCCAGAGGAAACGAAGAACACAAAGTGAACCACAGCAATTAAACACTCATTAGTTTGTGATCTATTTTGGTAAGTGTGAAAACAGAACAAACAAGATCCATCTGCAATTATACATTCTGCTTTTTTTCCTCCCTTAAATTTTAGCACCTTACCCCCGACATGCAAGTGCATAAAATGTGAAGTAGATGAAGTTTTACATACACAAACTTTTACTGCAACACATTTTACTGCAGTAATAAATGAGCACTTATTCTCAATAGGCACTTATATGCTACATAAAGATACTTTGGGAAGCCTGATATAATAACTTCCTGGTAGACTTTTATTCGTGCTGTAATTGTGGTTCGTACAGATGCATCAAATCCCACAGAAGAAATTAATCCTTTCTCATGCAGCATTTAAATGAGGCACAGTCTGAGTTCTGTTACATCACAACGTAATAAACTATAACAACTCACAGAGTCTTAACTTTGCTGTGCAGCACTGTGAGGAAGTCCTTCAGTCCTTCATTAGTCTGGCAGGATATCAGACAGACAGGAGGGAGTCCAGAGACCCCCCTCAGCTCCCTGTCCAGCTTCTGCCTCTGCTTCTCAGGCAGCAGATCAGTTTTATTCAGCACCAGGAGACACCTGTCTGCAGGAAATGATGAGCTATGTGAGCACTCAGGCGCTGAAAAGTCTGCCTGATTTATCTGGATGACTTCAAACTCATTTTCCAACCTGTAATCACATGAATTATCCCACCACTACCCAGAATGCTGCCAGATGGAGCAGCAGGCAAGTGACAATCACACAACTGAGCAGTGTAACTTCAGGTCATGATGTGAACGTAGCTGTCCAATAACACACTGTAGCTTCACCAGACAGCCGAGACAGCAACCAACAGAAGACAAAACGCTTTATTGTGCTTGAAGTGCATCAAAATGCAGCCAAACTGTCAGTGACCGTCCGAGCTACAGCCGCAGTACGTGAAGCTGACACATCATACCTGTGCCAGGCTGCTCCTGGGAGGGCAGCACACTCCTCAGGTGTTCCTGAAGGAAGCCTGCAGCTTGCTGTAGCTCAGAAGGAAGACCAGCACAGTCCACAACCACCAGCGTCAGATCAGCCAGCTCCACCCTGGAGAAAAGAAAGCAGCCTCAACTCTCAGCCTGCTGACATTTCCAAATAAGCTATTACAGTTTTCTGGTGGCTTGGGTAAATGTTCTAGTTCACAACCTGCATGTGCGATACCAGCGATGGGAACTAGTGTGTAGCTCAGAATACATTCTGCAGCAGCAGCAGCTCGAGGCTGAACATCAGCAGGATCTCTCAGAGCGGGGACCCGGCTCTCTGTTGTTTTGTCAGAACCACAAGCCTGAAAACACTGGCAGTGACATCTTTAATTAATTACTCCAAGTGGTATTCGCATTTCTTGCATCCGTCCAACTGTGCGGTAGCGGCAGCAGTGGCAGCGGATGCTTGTACTCACCACGTCCTTCCTGTAGTGACCCAGGTCACGAGTGTCTGTCCTGCTCCCTGAACTCAAAGTTTCCTATAGAACACAAACTTCACGCCCTTCCTATAGAACCACCGGGTCATCCAAATAATCCAAACAAAAATTAAAGGTATAAGAGAATATCTGAACTGAAAATAGTATTTTCGTAGCTACATGTTGACGTAGATTTTCAGTCATCTTCTGTTCATTTCTAAACAAACTTGAGGTAACCATGCACGAGTGTCTTAAAAAACAAAAACATGGTGAAAAAGTTAGATTTCCTCCATCAGTTATTTAAAAAGGGAAAACGTTATATATTCTATAATCACTACACGTAAAGCAAAAATATTTCAGGCCTGTTTTTGTTTGAATTTTGATGAGGCTGATGTCAGAGCATCAAGAGCCATCGAGCACAAACGTCTTCAGGAAAAGAGCTTCGACCGTCACAAACCGAACAACTCCTGAACCAGAGACGACGTCCAAGAAGAAACAGAACTGGACTGTTGCTCAGATTCAGCACATTTTGTATTTCTTTGGGTAACCAAGGCCCTAGAGTCTAGAGGAACAGTGGAGAGATGGTGTTTGAAGTCTAGTGTGAAGTTTCCACAGTGATGACTTGTGTGTCACATCGTCTGCTGGTGTTGGTCCACTGAGTCTGATCAGGTCTGAAGTCAACACAGCGTCTACCAGGAAATATCAGATCTTTAGATTCCATCTGCTGACAAGCTTTATGGAGACACTGATTTCCTTTCCCAGCAGGACTTAACACCTGCCCACGGAGCCAAAACTATGACCAGATGGTTTGCTGACCACGTCGGTGCTTGACTGGCCACCAGCCAGCTCACCTGACCTGAACCCCAGAGTCCTTATATGGTCAAGAGGAAGATGAGAAGAGAGTGAAGGCCGCTATCAAAGCAACTTGGGCTTCAGTAACACCTGAGCAGGTGGATCGCCTCCATGCCACACCGCATCGATGCAGTAACCTGTTGTAAAGGAGCCAGAACCAAGGATTGAGTGGACAAACGAACACACTGTTCAGAAGTTGGACATTTCTGGATTGTGAATACTTTTTTTGATTGATCTTAGAAAATATTCTAATAATTTGGATTTTAATAAGAGGGCTGCAAGGTGGATCAGTGGTTCTCTGGCTTCCTCCCACAGTCCAGAAACATGCTGAGGTTAATTGGTGATTCTAAATTGTCCGTAGGTGTGAATGTGAGTGTGCTTGGTTGTCTGTCTCTAAGTGTAGCCCTGTGATAGACTGGTTACCTGTCCAGGTGAACCTGCCTTCACCCTGACCCAGCTGGGATAGACTCCAGCCCCCCATGACCCTAGTGAGGATTAAGGTGTAGAGATGATGGATGGATGGAAGTATTCTAATAAGCTATATCCCACTATCATCCAAATTAAACCAAAACAATGCTGGGAGTATTTTCCATTACATGTCATGAATATAGAAGATATGAACGTTTACCTTTTTTACAATAAATAAAAAAATAACTTTTATCATCATTAAGCTCTATTTCTTTTAGATGCACCTTTTTTTTTTTTTTGCAAACAATCGTTGCCAAACAGAATCCGTTGACGCTCAGTTGACCCTGAAATCATCTGACTTTTGTTTGATTGGCTTCAATGCATGAATGACGTGTTGTCTAATTGCTGAGTCTGATGATTTTCAGTCCTTTGGGAAACACTTAACATTTATCTTTTTGGCATGAAAACTGTCATATTTTATGTTGAATATTGTCTGATGTCCTGACGTTGTGCAGAATTCTTTCAGTAACATGTAACAGCTTTGCCTTTTTTCTTCCATCGTCTTATCTGTTGCTCCCAAACATCAAATTTGTAATAAAACCCGTCACTGTACATGTAGTCGTCTATAAATGTTGATTTAATAGCGTGCATTAGCCCACGTGTCCATTCTTCTGTCCGAGTGTTTGCTTGTTCTTTCCTGGTGTAAACGGATGACGGTGAGTGGCCATATTTGTCCATTCCCTCCAACACACATGAAAAACCTCTTAATGGTAAATACTGAAGGAAAGGTGGCTCTTCATTATGCAACCTCCTGAGAGTGTTTGTCCTATGTATTTATAACCATGGCTCAGCAATAATGTAAACTCTGGGGAATACATAGACATGACAAAAATATAGCAAGGTGTACAGGGAAGAAGAAGTGACTAATTTCTTCCTTTCTTTGTTTTCAAGGACATTTTCCATCAGTCTCCGGGCTAATTTGTTCTGATAAATTATACACATGTGAGCAATCGCTGAGGCACCAAAGCCACACGAACTACATGAACTATTGTCCTGTATCCTGGAGTCAAACATTCCAGCAGCCGTTTATAACAGAATACAAAAAAAGCTAGAGCCACCAAATAGTAAATGGTCTCACCGATGAGTTGCAGCACTTCTCCTTTATAGCATCGTAAACTGAAATCTTTGCATTTAGGACACAATGAGTAACCTCATGACATCACCTTGATACGCATTTTAAAAACATTTAATATATTAATCCTAATTTTTATTCAAAGTTTCTACATAAGTTGCCAAAATGTGATTAAATCCAGTTGCTGATGTTTCAGTTGCAGCTGTTTTCTGCTTTCAAGCTTCACAAGCTTTTCTGTTTCTAAACATACATTAAGCTTCATCGTTTCTGCCTCCTGTCATTAGATCAGATCTGTACCTTAAAGCAGTCCACTGGACGAGCTTCTACACCGAGTGGCTGTCGATATATTTGCTTCCATGAGATTATCAAAAACTTTTTCGCTTTAGCTGATTTTATCAAATCAGTTCAAGCAGCTCTTTAATGTTTATTCTAAAAAAATGTAATTAAGAATTGCTCGTCTGCTTGGTATAAATTTTAAAGTTGCATAATGCATCAACGAGCTACCTTTCGCGCGCCCGGCGGACGCCCTCTCTCTCCACCAGGTCTGGGCTGTCTCTGAGGCCCGCCGTGTCACTCAGGAGGACGGGGAAGCCGCCGATGTCCAGGGCCGTCTCCACTACGTCTCTGGTGGTCCCGGCGATGGGAGAAACAATGGCTGCAGGTCTCTGGCCTGGATTTAAAAAAAAAAAAAAAAGCACAAGGCTGGTGATGTGTCAGAATTTCCTTGAAACTTGAAAACTTAAAATTTAATTAAAAAAATAAATAAAAAAATAATTTCCCTTCTGGGATAAATAAAGCATTTTTCATTTCATTTCAAAACCAACGCTGTCTCTCAGAACTTTCTGACTCTCCATCATGTCAGAGTTGAGTAGACCTCAATCTTACAGAACAAATCAGAATACACAATTTCATTTAAAAAAAAAAAAAAAAGAGGAAGAAGAAGAAAAAGATTTCCATAAACAGCGTGGCCTTGTTGTTTTCATCATTGAAACAGGAGTGCATCTGTTGGGAACTACTTTCAGTCAGGTAATAATACATATTTGATATTCTAGTGAGTGTTTACTAGCAGGACAGAGTCCATGTTCTCCATAATAAAGAGACAAGCTGGACGCAGGGACTGATCTTGTGAATTAGCTTCTTCAGATCCACTGTGCAGCTCTTTCCCTGTATGTGTGGATTCTTTCCGTCATCACACGACTACTATGATTAGACCCTCAGAACATTAAGATTATTTTCACTGAAAGGCCCATTTTGTGCTGTGACTATGAATCCACCAACTTCTGTTGTTGACAATGGAGTTTGCTGAGTAAACTACATAAAGACGACATTATCTGAATGCCAGGAAGTTTTTTTTTAGTGATAACTGAACAGCAAAGCCTGAACCCTCACACACAAGCTGTTCTGCACCTATCGGTCTAATCAGTCCGACGTGGAATCACGCTGCCAGCTCATTATTTGCGTGTGCTGTCTGGGTGTGAGCCCTCAGCACGGGGATGATAAATCAGAAAAGGAAAGCATAACAGGATTTTATCGGAAGTTTGACAAATGTGCTTACTGTTCTGATAAGAAGCTCTGACGAGCGCCAGCCAAGCTTCTAGTCTGGATAGTTTATATAAAGTGATTCTAAATGACTTCAGGAAACACATACAAGCATACAACAATACCTAAGCTGCGTATACTCCAAACATGTACACATAATTAGAAACATAAGTAGACGTGATATAATACCGGGGATTTAAACACTGAGGGATTACATGGGACACATAATGAGAGGTTCTTTATTAATTACTCACTGCTACATCCTCTCATGCAACTAAATGAATCCACTGCCGTCTGCAGCACGGCCACAGTCAAAGAAAAGAGTTTTAAAAAATGGACAAATGTCTTTGACCTGCCTTTTATGTAGAGAAAAAATGAACTAAGTCTGTTTTGTCACACATTTCTTCAGGATTGAACTAGATGATGGAGTCCCTTCATAAAATGCACCCACATGTCTGCTTTCACGCCGTCTTATTTCAACTGTAGCCTGCTGCTTCCTTCCACCCTACCTTGTGGAGGAAACATACTTCTCTTACTTTCTGGACCACAGTATTTGCATTTTAATGAATCACACACATTTTATAAAACTTTGTGAGTCCAAGCTGTGGGGATGTTGTCACTTTCCTCCCCTTCCGAACCACAACTGACAGCGCTATGACTCAACAGTGAGGTCTGTATTTAGAAGATAGTGAGCACACTTTAATCTTAATCCCTTCACTCTGTGTGTGTGTGTGTGTGTGTGTGTTGGTTTTCTTGGCTCTCTTACACAGTGTGTTCAGGAGGCTACTTTTCCCTGCGTTGGTGGCTCCTGCGATGACCACCTGGACGCCGCTGCGAAGCCGCTCGCCCCTCCTCTCGTCGTTGAGGTGTCGCTCCATCTCCGCCTGCAGATCAGACACCGACCTGTCCACTGTGGGCGGTGACAGACGGAGAGGGACAGCGCAGGGAACAGGACGTGACTAACGTTTTGTATTTACCTTCGCTTTCATAACCTTGTAAAAGCACCGTCTGTCCTTCGGAGGAGAAAGGCCTGTCCCCTGGCGTCTGTCATCTTCTGTCTGCATGAAAAATGGGTCACGGACTTGTGTCTTTGGGCACGTGACTAAAATGGAAAAACGATTTAAAATACAACGCGACAACCGTTCTTCCAGAGAAAATACTCTTTAGAAGATTGCTTGACTCAGGAACAGTAATTCATTCAAATTGTGTTGCAACTAGAATTAAGAAAACATCAGATTTGACGACCTCGCTGTGCGTTTGCAGGTTGGAAATAGAACGCATTCATGCCATGTTTGCTATTTTTGGAAACCAGTCTATTATTATTTTCTGAGGCGTGAGCCGACATTCCGTGCCACTAAAACAAACAATCGTCTCTGTGTCGAAACGTCACAACATCAGAGGCTTGTGAGGCGCTGTGGCAGTGCCAGACAGCAGGCGACAGACTCACATCCCTCTCCAGCGCACACTCCCTCATCTATGCACTGTGAGCATGGGAAACCTGGCCGCTGCTGCTGACAGCACTATTCTCGTGACCAACATGACAAGTTGTCTTTGAAGGTAAGACGAATGCCTGTACTGTCCCTCTGCCCATTCCCCCACACTTCCTAAGGAAACTGTCTTGTGAACAGTTTGATGTTGGTTTCTCCCTACAGCGCAGCACGCTGACCAGTTAGCCAGTTGCAGATCCAAACAGGAAAACCAGCTGGACTCCTCTCTCCTGAGTCCTCGGATTCCCTCGCCTCCTTCAAAACACCCAGGGACAACTATCCTGTTGTTGTTCTGCAGCACAAAAGGTCAAAGTGCAGACATACCTTGGTTTAAGACCCCGTCCTCGATGAGCTCATCCTCGCTGAAATCTATGAAGGCCTCGACGTGGGCCAGACTCTGTGGGACAGAAAACAGAAAAGAGAGACGGAGCTGAAATCAACGTGTAAAAGAAAGCTGTCGTAAACAAGTTAATGAACTGTAACTCAAATCCAAACAAGTTTTGTGGTGTCTTGATTGAGAAATATTGTGAGGAAAGCATCCCAAAGACAAAACTCAGAAGAAATAGGAGACTAATTTACAGGAAACTCATTGCATTTCATTTAGCTTTTTAAAAAAAAAATAACCGTAACGCTTTCATAGCACAGAACAAACATAGTTAATATATTTATTCAGAGAAAATTAGAAAATTATATCAGTAAACAAATAAAAAGGAAAATATTCTATCATGACTTTTATTTAAAATATAATTTAGGAAAAGGTCTTCGCATTTTTTTAACGTGTTTTTAAGTAACATAAATTATTTTCTCATGAGGCAGACGGGACGTTTTAGTTGTGTTCACACTCATCTTCATTTTTTAAGGTAAGATATGCCTTTATTTATCTCACAGTGGAGAAATTCACATTGTTGATAGCAGCATTAAACAGAGATACACATATATGAGACAGAAAAAAAATTAAAAATTAAAAATGTACATATAAATATAAGAAATAGTGCAAACAAAGAGAATAGTGCAAACAGAATATGAAAAATGGGCTTCTGAATGGGGGGTATATAGAAAAGATATATATATATATATATATATAAAGATAGGGATTAAATATATAATAATTATTATAATAATAATAACAATAAATATATAATAAAAATTAGGATTCATACATCAAATACTTTCACAATGCCCATCATAGTTTTTCTTAAATCTACGGCGCTGTTATGAGGTTACTCATTGTGTCCAACCTCAAGTCCTGAACGCAAAGACTTTCAGTTTACGATGTTATAAAGGAGACGTGCTGCGACTCATCAGCATCTAAGAAGGTCAAACAACAACCATTTACCATTTGGTGTTTTTTTTCTGTTATGATGTTCTCCAAAAATAGGAAAACTAATTTAGATTCCCAGCTTTAACTGTATTCTTCAGATGTTCAGCTTTACTTTTAAACAGCGTACACAATATATCTGGCATTTATATTAACATCAGACATTAAAATTCAAAGGCGTCCTTCATGTTCAAGGCTCAACCCCGGGTCAGATAAATTCTACATCTTGCTGCAACTTCATTTTAGTGACACGTTTTTTTTTTTAGATTCATTTTAATGTAGAATACAGAGGGAGAAATACTTCAGTGTTTCCTCCACCGCACTGATCGGTATCTTGACTGACACTGCGGAACATAAACACAATAGTAGTATAGCTGCACAAAAACAGGAAGCATCAGACTCCCATACTTTAATCCATTCACAACCGTGGGAAGTCCTTACGTGGGTGTCAAATGAGGGTTTGACCCGTACCATCCCAGCGATGGTATCCTTCTGATTAAGAGCGTTCTCAGAAGCCTGAGTCAAAAATAAAGACGCGTTTGAACGGCTTCTAGGAACCAACCTAAGAAGCCGCCGACAAGCAGCTTAACAGAGTTTCTCAGGGGAGAACACCTGAACTGGTTGGTCAGCTCTGGTGCCAAAGAGCAGAGAGACCACTAGTTGATGCTCTCCACAGCAGAGCGGGTTTGGCTCGCGTCCACAGTGTTTATCTGCAGTCAGTGACCTGCTGCTACCAGCTGCCTCCACAATTTACAGCAGACAAACTCAACCTCTGTCCGGATCAGATGTAAATAACACAAACAGAAAGGTAATTAACCCGAATAGGAATTTTACAATTGTGTACATTCTTCCCTGTGTAATTTGTCTTAGCTTCAGGACTCACACCACTTACTGACAACTATTTATATGTACAGCATACCGGATACTTACTGATAAGAAATACAATACTGCAGCACAGAATATATCAACGTCTTCATTGTGTGACTGCGGCTGTTGCCAGACACATGGCAGGCGTGCGTCATCTAATTCATCTTTAATCCAACAAAAACTGTGCAAAACCACACGTCCAGCGACGGAAAAAAAAACATGACATGGGTGCCACCTGTGTGAAGGTGCAACAACAGCACCTTCTAGTCCAAAAACCATCTTTTGAAACTTCATGTTCTGCTTTAACTGCTCACTAACGGCTTTCCTCAGGAAATTAAAAGCTCGACTAAATCTCTCAGCAGCGGAGACTCTTCTGATGCCAAGATAGTAAAGAACTACACAGATTACACTGTTTGTGCTTTTCCAAACAAGACTCGCGCTGCTGACCAGAGGAAATGTTCTGGTTACTGACCCCAAACCTTTGGCCACTACAACCATAACAAAATATTAAAGAGCTTTATTAAAGAGATCATGCACATTCACAGGTTCATAATAATCGTTTTTGAGTCTACTGGGGTTTGTTTGTGTACTTTAATGTTCAAGAAATCTCACACTGCACCTTGCCAGAGCGTTTCCAGGCTACGTGGGCAACAGCAAGCGCAACACACAGACAGTAAAGGTACTGTTTGACTGAAGCTTTCCTGTCATTTCTGACCAGATGACAAACAAAAATGTCTACTATGCTAGAGTACATTATACCCTAATGTACAAAACTGGTCCATTTGCTGCTGCTTTTTGTTTTTTTTTTAAATTCTTAATCCTCAAAATCATTTTGGCACTGGCAAGCCTTTTTATAAAGTTACTCCTTGCAGGAAAACCCTAATTGCTGGAGCACCTCTTCTCTGTTTTAGCTCCTGTCTCACTGACACCGTCCTCCCGAAAACCCCAGTCTGCTCTGATTGGTCAGTTGGCCCGACGATAGCGAGGTGATAACATATGGAAAACCCAGATTTATGAGTATAGGCAGAGAAACGTAGGCCCATCAGAAGAGGCTCCAGCAAGAAAATAATGTGGAGAAGCTGCCCATTCGTCATTTGTGTGGTGAACTAGCCGCTCGGCAGACGCTATGCAAAGGTGTGACGTAGTGACATAAATAAGTGACGTAAGAAAAGCCTGGACACAAAACAGTTTTCTGCAGGAGAGAATAACTCCTTGTGGCCTGAACTTTGGGCTTTGGAAGATTCTACACACTCAAAAAAGCAGCTTTATCACCAACTAAAAAAACATAATATGGAGCTTTAACGACAATAACGTACCATAAACCTTGAGAAGTTAAAACATCTTTGTTCCTACAATAAAACAGATATTTTGGTCTTGGAAAAACTTTTAGAAAATGCTTTTATATGATTGGAAATACACATTTTTAAGGTTTTCCTGCAAGGAAGGGGTCTTTTAATATATATATAAAGAATATAAACAACCTTCTACATCATAACAGTAGTGGCAGTAGACACCGTTTGAAATTAGTCTGCAGAGTAATTTTTCAGATTGACTGAACAAGTGATGTGTTATTGTTATTATACAATCAAACCCCCCTTTTTCTTGTTTTTTTTGGTCTCCAAATGGGATGACGACAGACATTTATAAGCACCACTGTTCCATGAAGACTTTATTACTTTGATTCTTGGTAATGAAGAGAAACACACATACTGCAGCAGCATGAAAACAGGAAGCCTCAGATTTCCATAAGATAATCCAACAACAGTGTGTTTCAAATGCAGCTGTAGAGACAAAAAAAAAAAGAAAGAAAACAAAAGCATTGTTTGGGTGTGAAACTGCCGAGGCCTGACCTACAGCACAGAGCAGACAGGTTCTTTCCAAAGGCTCTTCAGGGAATATTCCCGGAGTCCTGCTTGTTTCTGTTCAGCTACCTCTGAATTAGGTGTGACGTTGTTTTTAACCAGAGTTTTTACAGGCCCCTTGTTTATCTGGCACCTCAAAGCGCAGGTGCGGCTCAGCCTGAGTCGAGATCGGCTCTTAATCCTTCGATTGTGGGTTCATAAAACTCTGAGTCAAATGTAACTCAAACACAATGTGATGGTGGACAAGCCACAGTGAAGACCAGGAAAAAACCAGTGAGATTTCAAATGAACAAAAAGAAGAGCTGACAAATTAATGTAGAGAAATCAGCATAAGCCTGTACAGGTTTGTTCTGTACAGGTGAATATGATGAAGGGACATTTCTGCTGAGTAAAAAGTTCACCAAGTGTCTGTGTAGATTCTCAGTCATTCAGGTCGTAGTAATCATAAGAGCTTCAGCAGATGGCAACTGGACTCCCTTTTGGTTGTTGACATTTCACTTTCATCCAAGAGGCCTTGTCAGGTCAAACTGGCTGATGGGAAGTTTCAGGTATTTATTCTCACCCCCAAGTCACATAACACAAGACTCACAACACTCACATGCCTTGATGTGTGAAATGGGTTCATGTCCTGCCTCTCAGGGAGATACTTCAGAGCATCTTAGAGGGGAGAAGTGTCCGAACCACACGGCCTATCCACAGGGGTTCCTCAAGGGTTAGTGCTCGGCCCCCTTCTCTTCTCAATATATAACAACCTCACTTGGCGCAGTAATCCACGCCCATGGTTTCTCATATCGTTGCTATGCTGATGATACTCAGCTCTTCCTGTCGTTCACCCTGGACGACCACATGTTCTCTGCCCGGATCTCATCATGCCTTGCCGATATCTTGGCATGGATGAAAAAAACACCACCTTCAACTCAACCTCTGTAAGACTGAGCTCCTTGTCATCCCAGCCAGTCCCTCTCTACAACAAGAAATCAACATCCAGCTTGAATCAACCCAACTCAGACCCACCAAGTCTGCCAGAAACTTGGGTGTCATGATTGATGACCAACAAACCTTCGATGCTCTTGCGGTCTCTGTTGCTCGGTCGTGTCGATTCGCCCTGTACAGCATCAGGAAGACCTTTCCCGTCTGAACATGCAGCACAACTCCTGGTCCAAGTTCTCATAATATCACACATCGACCACTGCAGCTCCTTACCGACAGGCTCCCCAGCATCCACGGTCAAACCTCTGCAGATGATCCAGAATGCAGCAGCACATCTGGTTTTCAACCAGCCAAAAACAGCACATGTCACCCCGCTGTTCAGATCGCTTCACTGGCTTCCAGTTGCTGCCCGCATCAAATCCAAAACTCTGACACTTTCCCAGAAAACTACAATGAGAACAGCTCCCTCCGACCTGAACTCTCTCATTCGGGTCTACACTCCCTCTGCTCACTACACTCAGCCAACAAAAACCGCCTGATACAACCACCGCAACAGGGCCCGAGGTCGATAGCTAGACTCTTCTCCTCTGTGGTTCCCGTTGGTGGAACGAGATACCAAACTCTGCAGAGTCCCTCTCAGTCTTTAAGAAAAGACTAAAGACCAGCTCTTCACTCAACACCTCTGCACTTGACAGACTGCAAAAAGAAAGAAAAAGAAAACATTCCTATTACCTCCCACACTGCCTGCAGGCATCAAGGTCCAATCACACTTTAACTTGTTTTATGGCACTTATCCAGGTTGCTTCCTCCTGACTAGATGCCTGCTGGTGTTGTATCTGCTCTCAGATGTACGCCACTTTGGATAAAAGCGTCTGTAAAATGAAACTGTAACAGAAGTTGTTATGAAACTGTCGAATGAGGGACTGAGAAAGCCTCACAAGTGAAATGTCAACAACCAAACAGAGGTCCAGTTGCCTTCTACTGAAGCACCGAGCTTCAATAAAGTATTTCACTGTGGCATCGGAGACCATCTAAAATGTGAGACAAAAGCTTTAGGTCTTGTGTGAGGCCAGACTCAAGTCACAAAACATTCCTGCAGAACACAACCACACTTGAAACCTCCGAGCTCCAACCCTGATGAAAACGTCTGTCTGTTTACATGTCTGTCTGCCCATCGTGGACCAAAACCTCTATCTGCACCACCAGTCTCTGTACTCCTGGACGACCTACCCGCTTCAGTCTGTGGCTCCAGTCCTGATAGAGGCGTCCCAGTTCTCCTGACATCTGTCTCAGAGCCTGTCTCCTCTGGGCCTCTGTCTCTGCGTGGATAAGGTCCCCGAGGCCTTCCACCTTTAAGAGGAATCACATTAGATTTGACAGCCATACATCTTCATACTGGAATATCTATATTTATGCAGCATATATATATACACAGAAGAGATTAAACTGGTTTTATAAACCCGTGAGTCTTCGGGTGAAGCGTACGCTGCCTATGTCCCCTAAACAGTGTTTATACTGTCTGACATCCAAGCTTAATACTTTTCAGGTTCATCTTATCTAATGATCAGATTTATTAATAAGATAAGAAATTAGCCGTGTATAAAACTCCAGAAGCATGTTTGCTTCCTCTGTGGCAATGTTAAGAGCTGTGATGATCATTTTAATGAGCAGTTTTACTGAACCCTAACCCTTTATTTATAGCTATTCATAAATAAACACTTAAATCACTATATGCAGCTAAAATTTACTCTGGAGAATAGTATACCATTATATGCTTTTTACCAAACATCCAAAACGGATTCATATTATTGCTTAAGGCTGCATACTTTAATATTTTCTTAAAAATCCCCCACCTACAGAGGCTTAGTAGCTGCATTTATGCATGAATCTCTGACAACCCAATGAAATAAAAGCCAAAGGGCAAATTATGTAAAAGGAGAAATGCTCACTGTTGACATTTTGAGCATGCGAAATCCCTGTTCAGTTCTGACCCTGTTTATTCTGCATTTTCTGCGTCAAACAACTGTTGATGCACAAATCTGCACAGCTGTGTTTCGGTGTGTGTTGCCTGCCTCTGTTAAACCCAGTTTGCCTGCGCTGAAGGCCCTCCGCGTGAACTCCCCGGCTTCAGCAGGCCTCATGCCAGGCACGCTTCCTGAAAAACACACACAAAAACACAAACATCAAGAAATGCATGCACGACAACAGGCGTACATCATGCACACACACACACACACACACACACACATGGAGGAGGATCAAACGGAGGGTCAACGTGTCACTCCGGGTTCACGAGGAATGAAAACAGGCACAACTGCAGGTTCAAGAGGTTACGTGTTCATTGTTTTCTCAACCATCTCATCAGGGGGAGACAATAGTGAGCATAAAATCATCTGGCAAACGGGGGTCATGATGTTTTAACCAGAATTATTTTATAGTCTGCTTGCCAGTAATCCTTTTACCAACACTGTTACAGCCTTAACTTTAAAACAGAAGTATTTCAAATGTCTTGAACTGTCATTTTATATTATTTAACTATTAGTTAAATAATTTTACGATGAGTAAAAACCTCAAAGTAGGTTAACTGGTGCCAAGCTTTCATTACCATTTCTGTTTTATACAATACTGCCCTCTAGGAGGCCAAGACGAGAACTGCAGTAAATACATTAGGTGTCAGTCACAGGGCTGTCACGCCTGCCAATGCACATATTATAAGTATCTCAGAAACAGGGATGCATCTGTCAGTTTTCTCTTTTAAGTCACAGTGATGGACAGCTTCATGACTAAACCCAATACTGAGTTTAGAATCCTTATGAAGGCTTAGAGCTCAAGAAGTTGACGCTGTGAAGACACACATACTCTAAACACCCTGCAAGGTGGCGGTGCGTGATGTGCCAGTGTGTGTTAGTTTGTTGTGCTACATTACATAAAGTTGTCTTGTTCAACACTGCGTCATACTCATAATGACGTCTATACGTTACCTAGAGCCTGTAAGACGGCAGTAATGACAGCAGGACCGCCGTGGATGTGGAACTCCACGCTGTCTTCTCCGGTGAAACTACGAGGACCTGAAGGTAGAAACAAAAAAATAAAAAATAAAAAAATATTGTAAATATCCTTTTAAATTTGAATAAGTACAAGGAGAATCATTTCAGCAATACCTCCATTAACTTTGGAAGTGGGTGAAACAGATAAAACTTGAGATGTTGGTAAGACAGTTCAACAACAATCTGCACGCGAGCTTGTGACTCAAAATGGAAGTGAGACAAACTGTTTAGAAGATGTTGAACGTGACGGATGAGATTTAACATGAGTATTTACGAAACACTCCACGTTGCTTTTACTGCTCATGCAGTGCTGATTGCAAAATAGTAACACAACACTGCATTCTCCGGACTCACTCGTAACTTTGGACGGATTTCACCTGGTCAGAGTGAACCGGAGCTGGAGGGAGAGTGGTGAGAAGAAAGGCTCAAGACTCGCCATGTATGTGAATGAGAGATGGTGTAATGCTAGCACATTAGCGTCACAGAGCTTGAAGGATGTTGAACTGCTGGCGGTTGGTTTGCGGCCGTTTCACCTGCTGAGGGAGTTTTCACACATCCTGGCGATTACAGTTTGCATCCCCCCCTCGGCTGATGCTGCTGCAGCCTGTAAACTCATCCATAGTTCAGTGTCCCAACTGCAAACATCACACCCTCAGTCTCTGATCATCATCTCAGGAGACTTTAACCATACATCGCTCTCTACCACTCTCCCCACAGTCAGCCAGCATGTGGACTGCCCAACGGTGGGGTCTTGGACCTGCTGTGTATGGACACCAGGATGCACATAACTTAACTATTGTTATTTTCTTGTACTTTCTATATTTTTGGATGCTGCTGTGGTGGGTAAATTCCCCTGGGATAAATAAAGTATTGCTATTCTATTCTATTCTATTCTATTCTATTCCCCGACTTGTGGACATAATTTTTCACATTTACTATCAATGTGTTACATTCAGCACTATATAACAAATCCACTTTCAGGCACAAGCTGGAGACTGGCAATGTGTAACTAAAGGTATTTTCCTTGAACATGTGATGCAAAACAACGACACAGACTGAGATCTTGTAAACACTGTCTTGTGCTGTACCATCATGTAATCTGTTGATAAACCCTTTGGACATGTAAAGGGAAGCAAAAAAGACTGCATCCAAATTACAAGTCACAAAAATGCAGAGAAGAAATAAAATGCATGTCTGGTCCAGGGGGAGCGTACCTGGGAACCACAGGACAAGTCCATGGTCCAGTACTTCTTTAGAGCGGGGGTCTGTGATGCTGCGGAGCAGAGCAGTGCGTGGACGAGGCAGGCTCTGTGTGTGACCGGCCATACGCTTCAGAGCTGTAGCTGAAGCAGGACCACTGATGCGCACCACGGCCACGCCACACCTGCCATGACCCGATGATAAAGCGAAAATGGTGTCAGCGTCAGCCAGGCCAGCTGGGGCTCCATCGCAGGTGGACAGGGACCTTAAAGGTTGAGTTCCTCTGCTGGAGGCAAGAAAATGGTAACCTCTGATTATTCATCAGAGTTATTAGACTTTATCTAGAATATGTCAATAAGCGACTAAATCAAAACCACTGACCAGGTGAAATGAGAGACACTGATCATCTTGTTACAATTAGGAGTCAACTGATTATCAGCTTACTTGATTAGCTCATCTGATATTTAGCATTTTTCGAATTAATGGCATCTTTTTTTTATTTTTTGTATAGATAATGGATAGTTTGAACTATTTTGACTCTGACCGGGCTGCCGCTCTCTGTCCGTAGTCACCATGCTGCAAGCAATGTTCCTCCCACAGGAATATCTGACTGGTTAAATGCCATGTGAGTTAGAGCTTCAAAACTGAAGGATAAATGTAGAAGAACCATCCATCCATCATCTATACACCTTAATCCTCACCAGGGTCATGGGGTGCTGGAGTCTATCCCAGCTGACTCAGGGTGAAGGCAGGTTCACCTGGACAGGTAACCAGTCTATCACAGGGCTACACTTAGAGACAGACAACCAAGCACACTCACATTCACACCTACGGACAATTTAGCATCACCAATTAACCTCAGCATGTTTCTGGACTGTGGCTGGATATCCTAAGATGTGTTTTATCTCAATGCTCTTCATAGTCTTTCTATAAACTTGTAAATCGTGACGCCTTTTTAAACATGAAGGCTATCAGGTAAATCAAAGCCTTAAAATATAATGGAGTGCAAAAGCAAATAATAAACTTTATACTTTTGTAGGTAAATCTGTGAATAGATAAATTATTAAACATGTTCCAAGACCGAGGATAATGGGAAGACAAAGACTAAAACAAAAAAAAGACAGATTATTGAAGTGGAGAAAATGTTCTGTGCTCTTCAAAGCTTGAAGGTTAAAGGAAAAGACTAAAGCTTTCTATTTCCTTAAACTCCAATTTAATTAATTACCTTAAAGTCTTATTTAATGATGATTCAGGCTTTTTTTTCTCTCTGTCTAATGACCACACACATAAAATCATTTTTAATCAGATTAAATAGCACCATGACACTGTGTGTACCTAAACAAGGAGAACTGAGGTATGAACATGGACACAAACCTCGTCCTAAGTGAGTGGACAGCAGCTCTCCACATCCCACGATAGATGGACGGTAGCAGCAGCATCATGATGACACACCAGAAGTTTCACCTGTCCTGTGGGTGACACTGACATGACACCGCTCTGTCCGTCCTTCACTGGATCGTTACGTTCATCTTTCCTCCTGACAGATAATCTCATACAATCCTGTGACTGTATTATCAGCTGCTAAATGATTTCAGTCCATCATTTATTACTCATCTGCTGTTCAGCTACACCTTCATTAACAAACTCACGCCGGTCGCAGCTCCTCAGTCCACCGGAGCCGTTCAGCTGCTCCCTCCGCTCACTGTGATTGGTCCAAGCAGCGGCCGGTTCTCCGCTTCTATTTGTTCAACGCCTGTCAATCTGAAGTAAGTCCCGCCTCCTGTGCGCCGCAAAACTCGGTCCGTCATGCAGATGAAAGATGTGAAATAGTTCCATCTACTTAATTCTGAATATTTTCCACTGTTCCTTTAATATCACAATAAACAAACAAAAAAAGTCACACAAAAAAACAAGTTTAATATCACAGTGACCTCAATACAAAAATTACAATGAACAATAAAAAGTACGAGAACTTGTGATAAGCCTTTTTAACTTTAAATTTAAAACTTAAAAAAAAAAAAATTGAGGTAAAAGCTCTATCTATCTATCTATCTATCTATCTATCTATCTATCTATCTATTTATCTATCTATCTATCTATCTATAGTGTGTAGATAATGGACGGATGTAAATATGCATTTCACATTTTATTACTATTACTGTTATTTAATTATTTCTGTGCATATGTGTTACATTAACTCAAATGATTTCCACAATAATGCACCGTTCACCTGCTCCTGAAGCATACATCTCTCCTTTCATCACGTTTGTTGGTGGTTGTTTCATGGGAAAATGAAAATAAATCAGAATGTAAGATACTACATACATGATGAAGAAACACCTTGATGCAAAGACATCTATCTATCTATCTATCTATCTATCTATCTATCTGTCTGTCTGTCTGTCGGTCGGTCGGTCGGTCGGTCGGTCGGTCGATCGATCGATCGATCGATCTATCTATCTATCTATCTATCTATCTATCTATCTATCTATCTATCTATCTATCTATCTATCTATCTATCTATCTATCTATCTTTGCATCAAGGCATCTCTTCATCATGTCATCATATATAACCAGGAAAGGAGCTTTATGCAAAATGCAACACAACACTGTGAGCAGCTCTTAGTATAATGCAACAACATTCAACATCATCACAAACAGTTTCAGCAAAATGTAACGATTATCACAGGCCTGTTGTTAAACTACACTAGTTTTTGGTTTGTCTACCTAAACATGCAACTGCATGCTGTGTATGTAAACACCTTTTGCTTTTTTTGCTTTTTTACACCACAACAAATTTTACATTTGAATAATGTCGTCTGTTGTTTTGGGGGTTTTCTGGGCTGTGCTTTTGTGTGCTATGGTCTGTGGCCTTTCCTAGCCTACATACATGCATGAAAAAAAACGAACATAAACAAAGGATATGGACTACATGTGCAGTGGTGTGTGTCTGGCCCACTGCAGCGCCTTGCAGCTGTCATCCCAGAGGATGGTGAGTAAGCAGAATTTCTGCTCACAAACGAGGTGCTTCTGAGTTGTGAGCCATACAAGGGGGAGGGCCGCCTGCCTGCCAGTCAAGCTGCACAGTGAAACACAGCATCCAGGAGGGACGGCCGGGAAGATAGATTGTGTACACGCTTAAGAGGCATGGCCTGAGGCCTGGGAGCAATCTTTAACCTGGCCTCTCAATAATTTATAGACTTCTCTGTGTGTGCACAAAGCATGACAGCTGCCATTTCACTGCCATTTATACAAAGACTTTTGTCTCTTTTGACCAAAAACACTGTTAATCAGGCCGTGGATCTGATTAAAGAGGATGAAATTTGTTAAGGACGACTGTGCCCTCTCTCCTTGTCCACACCTGGACACCTCACATACAGGTGAACAACTGAGTCATTTACTGTGAAGCTGCTTATTTATGTATTTATGACAGAAACACACATTTCACCAGGCGAGGATCTTCAGACTCAGGCTACATCTCCAGTGTTTGCTTTGAAGAGCGTGTATTTGTTTAGGGTGTAGGCTAAGTTTCACTTAGGTTGATCACTGTTTGTTGATTTTTAAAGACCTAACAGTCAGCAAACAGATGGAATAATGTGCCATTTAAAATGGCCTCAATACTTATAGTTTATTCATTTGGATGGTTCAGTAATAGAATGACAATACATCAAGCTGAATCTAAGGCAGTAACAGACAGAATCCAGCTGCTGCATACAGGACACTGTGAGTACTGCTCAGTGTTTGTTCGACTGAGAAGTGACATTACTTGTACCTAAGCCTGAGCGTCACTAAAAATTTAATCTATGAGGATATTTTTTGCATTAATAAATAAGTCATGGTCTATTTAATCTTCCAGGACAGGGTAATGCAGTCACACTCACACAGTAGCAAAAGTCTACCTGCTGCACTGCAGATATCACCTGCCTGCCTCCAAGGATTAATATTTAAATTAAAGGTGGGCGCGTTCTGAGCACAAGAAGTAATGTTATTTTGGTGATGATGTGAATGAGCATAATGCCAGCTCAGTGTCTGTGTGTGAGCCATCCATTTTGTTTGTTTGAGTTTTGCTTTGATGTAACCAAGTGGATTCTATTTCTGGCATCAATGTGAGGCCTGGCTGCTTGAAGAGGCCACTGGCTGATAAAAATACATCTCTCCTGGAGAAACTGCAGGGTCATGCATGTTTAAATTTACTATTATGATCTTAAAAGATTGATGAAGGGTTTTGAAATCTTCCAGAAGTGCATGGATGGGTTTGTAATAACAGCCTGGCTGCCTCACCTGACTCTATAGTTTAATGTTGCATGAGGGAATTCCTCCACAGGCCTCACAAATGTGCTGATATAGACTGAGACGATCCTAAATTACTCAATTATTAGCCTACTATTGTGGAGCATTGTGAAGAGTGTGCCACCAGCCCAGCCCCCTCCCCCGCCCTCCCTCTCTTTGTCCCTCCTCTCCAGCCGTCGGAGCAGCGCCTCATCCAGCCGCGCATCCTGCTCCAGAGCACCTCCACGATGATCCGCCGCTGCGCCGACAACCTTCACTTCACTTTCATACTCATTTAACCCTTCCCTCGGACCCACCGGCCGCCGTGCTACACCCATGCTTTGCCCTCCTCCTGAGATGCGATACCACTGCACGATTTCCCGGAGAATATCTTCATCTTCCGTCGCTCCGCGCTGATAGAGAGCATGCCCGACACGGGGACGGCAGCAGCAGCGGCCGGCGCCGCAGCCGCGGCGGCCGCCAGCGGTGCGTCCACCGCCGGCGACGGCCCCGAGAGCTCCCGGCACCGACACCGAGCGCAGCAGGGAGACGCGGAGAGGCCGGACCCGGGCGCTGCCCCGCCGCAAGCCTCCTCCGGTGTACTGGGTGAGTCGGCTGCGGACGGTGCGGTCGGTGTCGGCAGGTGGACGTGATGTTGGAGCAGACAGCGCCGCACCGTCACGCACCTCGCGGCTCCGTTCTTTTGTCTCCACGAGGGCGTCCCAGAAATGAGCAGCTGATCAGACTGCAGGCCTGTAAATAATGGCTCTGACTGCTGCTGCATATCCACACAGCAGCTCCCTGATGTTGTGTCCTCTGCTGAGGAAAATGGCCACATTTGGTTCATCCTATTAGTTTTGACCTTATTGTCGGTTATTGTGTCGCCGATCAGCCCGCTCCTGTCGTGGGCTTATTCCACAGTGTCCCTCTGGGCTTTGCTGCTGTAGTTTATGCCACAGTATCCTTAAAGGCTAAGAACACACTGTGATGGGCTGCTAGGTGTGTTTTAATAGAACAGGTCTCTCTTTACTTCTTTATGATCTCTGTGGGGTCTGTGAGCCGGTCCTCTGTTATCCTGCCAAACGTTCATTAACTCCAGCATCACACAGGCATCTCTAAACTGTTGTACACTTATTCCCTGTACCAGGATCAGTTTGCATGCCACTGGACAGCCTATAGAGCAGGTGCATGTTTTGTCATTGTAATGAGGGTTAAGCCAAACAGGCTGTGTGCTCATGTTGTGTTACAGTGTGTGATGTGCTTCACACCTCCTTACATTGAGCTGCATTTCTGTTTCCAGTGCTGTTCCTGTGTGAGGGACCGCTAGAATTATGGTATTTCTCTTTGTAGAGAGGGTGACCAGAACAAACATGCCTTCTGTTGACACTCCACCACACTGAGGTGGATCTGAATAGGCCACATCACAGTGGTCCCTTTGCAATATTTGCAAGTGAGGCTATTTTTGGAACAGACCACAATATGAGCTTGGTAGGGAGCCTCAGCTGCCGAGCCAGGATTGTTTTCCTGCATGCGGGCTGCAGAGACAGCCTCAGTGCGCCCTGCGAGCACTGCTGCAGAGTGATGCAGTGGAGCAGTGGGCTGTCAGCAGATGAGCGCTCCTTTCCACACTTGGTCGAGGTAACCTGAGCAGGCAGCTGCTGGCTGGAAGAGCAGCCTGATGTCATCCTGTTGGGAGGGTGGCACCCAGTGGTGCCACCTCAGATCCTTGAATGGGTTACAGGCGTGTTGGAGGGTCAGTGAAGTGAAGACTGGTTGAGCTTTACAGTGGCTTACTTAGCTAGACGCAGTACTGGGACAACGAGAGAGACCAAAGTTGTAAGGTGTCAAAGCACAAAAATGTATTACCGTCAGAATTCACTGGTTCATAGCCAATAAAAATAATATTTAAATTATGAAGTGAAAACTTTATTAGTTTTTCTATGTATCTTTAGGTATCCAAGGTGTTGTCATACTGACAGCTGGCGTTGGATGTCTGGGTAGATTCATAGTTGTGTGTCCTCTTATTCTCATAGTTTTATGTAGATTATAGTTTGTAGAGCTGCATGTGTTTTCCATGTAAAATTAGAGAACACTGACATTTTTTCCTAAAGGAAGAAATGGATTTTTTGGAATTGTTTTTTGAAGGAGGGAATCAGTAAAGTGTTGTTTGGGTGTCAGTACTGGAAACACACTGACTGCTTTAGCTTTAATCTGAGGGTTTTAAATGATGCCGGCACTGTGATGATGGTTCTGTGACATGGACGAGTCTGAGACGCTGTGTTTAGTCCCACATGTGAATACTGTTTCCACAATAGATTAAAAAAATAAAATAAATACATGAAGATCAGTGCACAGTCACCACAGACGAGTCTTTCTTGGTGTCTCACAAACACACATGAAGAAGTAAAAGCCAGATCTGACTATTACGACACCTGTAATCATTCATGGAACATTATGTCGCAGATAATAGAGTCATAAAAGCAGTACTTCAGTTCTCCAGTCACTCATTAAATCCCGAAAATCTTTCTCTTTCTTTTTCCATCAAGGTAATCTGTCCGTGTCTTAAAATGGCTTAGATACAAGTCTGCACCATTGCTCCCTCTAGACTGTAAACCCGTGAAGCGTCTGCCTCTTTTCCCTTATACCACTCTCTGAGCAAAGTTGTAGGTGAGCTGGTGTGCTCCAGCAGCAAGCAAACACTGTAGAACAACTACACAATTCCTTTTTGTACTATTTGAGTAATTCAGCTGTACATGTCCGAACCAGAAGAAGAAGAATAGTGACACAGAAAGCCTCAACCTGTACAGCAGTGGTTCTTTAGTGTTGTTGCATTTGAAACCCTTGAGGTCTCGATTTGTGTTTCTTGAGCCGTCATCAGAACGCTGCGGTTCCAAAGACGAAAGGCTCAGCCGTGGTGTTGACTGCTTAATAAAAAAAAGAACATCCTACGTTAGGAATAAAGCTTTAGACATGTGTCTAGTGTTTACAGCAGTGGCTGTCTCGCTCCTCCTGCTCTCACTTGACTGCTGGTTTCCGTGCATGGGTTATGATAGAGGTTCAGTGGGATTACCATGATATCGCATAACTCCACTCACACGTGTCGGTGTCAGTCAGCGAGCAGCAGCAGGGCACAGCCACTTCTCCATGCGGCTGAGATTTTGGTTGCAGTGTGGAAGGATTCTTCCTCACTGGAGGCCTGGATGCTCGATTGTCTCTGTGCCTCCACCACATTTTCCTAATCCCACCACAGTAGACTGGAATGACTTTGATCCTCTCAGCCATCTCCCTTTGTAGCTCCACCGCTCACAAGCCGGCGTTTCAAGGATTAATTAAGCACCCGTCATTAGAAAATGCAACGTAAAAGTCTCACCAATTAGTGCGCGCTCCCTCTGAGGCCAGTGTTGATAAGATTCTCTGTTATGGAAATCAGGCCATGTAATTTGTGGTTTCCCAATCAGCCGGCGCAGTGGTCTCGGATTTAGGACATTTATTAGACAACACGGTGAAATTCATTCTTGCTTTGGGAGAAGATGCAACGTTAACGGGCTGCAGCCAGAAAATTTAGTGTCTCCATAGATTCCTGTAGATGTGGTCTGGTTTCAACTCACCTCTTTTTACTTCAAATAACAATTTTACTTCAATTCTGAACTTTATCTTCAAGTCTATTTTCAGTTTTTCATTGCAGCTTGGGGAATACCTTCTCTCATCAGCGCAATGTCTAAAATACGGCAGTAATTAATGCACTGCAGCCTCTTAAATGGGTATTCTTCATACCAGCTCTGACATTCGCCCTTAATTGTTCATTTCAAAAGATTCAGGAAATAAAGTGTGTCACAGGACAGCCAGGGTGTAGTCAGAGTTTCTCCTTTATTCTGCTGCACAGTTTAAATGGTTTGACAGTTTAAAATATATAAAAGTGAGCAGGTTTTGCATTTTAAAACTATTATACAAAACCCTTTTGTTCTGATATGAAAGTGCATGTTTTCTCTGAGCCAGTGGTGAGATTTGAAGGGTACATTTTCATCTATGTAAACTCATTTAACTCCATCCTTGATGCTTGGCATTAATAAATGCACTTCGCGGTCTGCAAAATGCATGAGGAAAATGTATTAAGCAGGGATCTGCACTCATCCATACCCTCTCGGCCAGGGCGCCGCTCTCTCTGCCTCTTTAGCAAGTTGAGCACCTCAGCTTTACTTCAGACAGATTTAGTCAGGTTCAGTGTCACACAGGTTGTTTTAAATACAGCAGTGAGAGGGCAGCGTGGAGAGGAGAACGCATCACACTGAACTTCCCTAAAAGAAGAGCTGTTTGTCGTGGCAGCGAACAGCCTGAGCCGCTTGGTTTCGCGCCCTCCCACAGCTTCATAAATGAAGGGGCTGATGAATGTAATGCAGTGGGATATAATGACAGCAGTGTGTTGTGTCTAATGACTCTGAACTTAATGCCTCTTTCTACATCTGCGTCTTTGCCTCTCTCACTGTTAGTCATTGCATGCTCCATAGAGATACGTTTCCTGGTCTCCTTCCCTTCCCGGCTCCTGGAGTAAGTGCTGAGCTGCACATTAGCTGCATTAGCAGTCGAGGAAAGTCGCCTCAGTGTGGGGTGACCTTGCTGCTGGTGATATTGTAGCTTTATTAGCCTCACCTGATGAGTGAAGCACAGCTGACGTGGTACTTTGGTGAACCAGCGTCTGATGGGCCAAAACGTTTCACACTAGAATTAAGCAGACCATCAGGCCGACTATAAAATTAAATGGCCAGCTCTTTACTGTGATGGCACTTCATATTTATTATGCCTTGAAACTGACATCATTACAGTAAAGCCGGTGCTGGTCGGGTGATGGTAAACACCGTGAGTGCTGCGACCACTTTCAGGGGTTTCCTGTTGATGAGTTTGTGTGGTTGGTGCTCGTGGCCTATTTGTGGGCACATTGGCAGTATCTCTTCACGCTAACTATCCAAATTCACTTCTCTGTTGCCAGAAACGTAAGATTCCCCACCATATGTTGCTCAGAGGATCAGGGATCCGCTGATTTAATACGCCGGATTGGTACCAACATCAATCTGGCTGTGTTAGGCTTACGTTTTGGCTGTGATCTGACTGATCCTCGTTTATTGCATTTTCTTGATCACTGTCAAAATTCTGCTGCAGTCATTCGGTCACGGTGGGCAGCCGGCTCAGTGTGTAGTACTACAGCAATGCCTCATGGTATCTTACCGAGAAATAATTACAGTAAATTCCTAAAAAGCAAGGTTTTCCAGATTTTAAATTTGCTAAGAGGAGGCTCGGGTATTTGTCTCTTGGCATCAGCAAATAAACCGAGTCACCTACAACCTGTGCTTGTTTTTACTGAGAGATACAGTTTTTAGTGCCAATCACACAACCATCACTGTGTATTTGTGCTCATTTAATGGACAAAAAAACATTTGAGCTCAGAGTTTAAGAGCCGCACACTCTGCAGAGTTTACATCCGTTTATTATCGGATCAGTGTGGCCACATCCTTCGACCAGCAGCTCAGCGGGCCTTTTTGTTGTCACCTGGTTCTTGCCGACTTGTTTTTACAAATGCAGAGACGTACACCGCCTGCATTGTGAGACGCCTT